CTTAGTGAAATTTAAATACTTTTCTTTTCTGATTGTCCTACTTCAGAGGAGAAAGGGTTGCTGCTAGTCATTGTTTTAAGTGTTTGACTGCATAGACAGCAGAGAATGTGTTGTGATTACTTGTTGACATTTACTCATGTTTATATATTGCTTCTGTGTAATATTTTATTACTGGCTTTATATCTAGAGGGAGTCATGTTCCCATATACCTTTAGTCTAGGTGACCTGTTGCTTTTGCTTCCTTTTCAGAATTCTACTGCTTTTTGCAAGCCTTTCTGTTGCAGGTTTAAAGAATTATTTTCCTCCTTTTTGAAAGATGTCAGGGAATTATAATTTGAAGCAGAAGATTACAAAGAGCTCAGTAGTGAGGCAAGGAGCTACTGGAGAATGGAAGAGAGGCTTTCCAAGGGGCAAAGTGATGGGGGAGGTTGTGGGGGCAGGGAGAATGGAGGTGCTGCAAGGAACAGTTGGGCAGAAAGGCAAAGTAATGGAGCGCGTGGGTATGTTTGTGAGTTGAGGCAGGAGGTGGGAAGATGCTAGCAGACAGCTGGGAGATGGGGAGTGGTTCAAAGACTGCTCAGGTAAACAAGCTTCCATATGGCTGAAGCATAAATCAGACTGAAACTTGGTTGTTTTTTTTTAAATTATGAGTCAGAGATGGGAGGTTGCAGAGGGAGCATGAAACATGCAGTTTGAGCCAGATTTTCTAAACAGCCTATATCTACTGAAAATCTGCAAGACATCTATTTTTTTCTATATATCCTTTAATTGCCTCACCAGCACACTGGTTAGGAACTGCAGTTCGTAATGAGCTAATTCATCAGAGTTATCAATTGGACCATCATCAGAAGTCTCATGGGAATATAGAGATTTCTGGATGATTATTACTTTTGTGTGCAAAAATTACGTTTAATCTGTTTATTCTGCTGTAACTGGAAGTTGCTCAAATGCCACCAACTGCTTTTAATGCCCTAGCGTAAAGTTAGAGACGCATTCAGAGTCAGACTCTTCCATTTCACAAGTATCTTATCTCACACACATAATTGCTATAATCAGTATAATGTAATTGAATTCTGGACGTTTCTTTAGTTTATGAAGCAGCAATACCTCCTTTATAGTTAAGACTGTTACGATCTTCCATTATTATAAGGTTCTTTTTCATATCTTTCCTCTCGCTAATGCCTTTCTTCCACCCTAACCCCACACAAACAAATAAAAAAAAATAATCACAATCTTAAAATTCATCATTTGCATACCATCCCTAGGTAGTGTTGTGAAATATCTCATGTCAGTGGCAATGCTGGTTTTTGTAATTTCCTCAAAATGTGTGAAATTATGATTTGAGTATGTAGGTCCCTACTTATTTCATAACTGGGCACTGTCATTTTTCTGAATTGTGCTATTAGATGGCAGTCTCACATATATGATTAGATGTAATATGACAACTAAACATGTTCTCATACATTTAAATATAAATGTTTTTGGTTACATGCCCATTCTTTGTTTAAGCATGTAATTTGTATCTGGGCTTTAGAGCCAAATGCTACATCCATGAAGTCAGTGGCAGAAGCTCCAATAAGTAGGAACTTACTCAATTTGTGATTTCACAGATTTTGCAGAAATCATGAAATTGCGCAGTGTCCACAAAATGGCTACTGCAGCCCATCCATGCAGCCTGATGGGGGGGAAGGAAGAAGGAGGGCTGACAACACAAAGGGGAGCAACCTATATGGCTGCTGCCCCCACCTCTCACTGTTGATTGGCTGAGAGGGTTGCCTGTCATGTGGCCCTGCCCCTCTCCATTAATCTGCAGCGAGGGCTGAAGCTGTACAATGGATAGCCCTTTCAACCAATCAGCAGTGAGGGGTGGGGGCCCCTGGGGACCCATGGACAATCAGAGGCCTAGGGAGGGGCCTCTGTGATAAGTCCCCGAAAATGAGAGCTGGCCCTGTGATCTGCCCATGAAATTGGCTGCCTGCCTCCTCAATTTGGGTATTCTTAACCAATAACCCTAATAGGACATAGATTTTGCCCTTAGTCACCTGGTGATGCAGTCTTTTGGTAGGGTGAGGTAATGCATTCTTTAAATTCAGTCTTATACCTTGTATGAAATATTATTAAGTGGCATTTGTTGTTTTGCGGAAGGGCATATTAACGTAAAATAATTAAGTAACTGAGTCTTCATTATAGAAAAAGTACAAAAATCCTGAGGAAGAATAAAAAATGTAGGTGTATGGCAGGTTGTAATACAACATTTTAAACTATGTATGGGATTAACCGTTTTTCCAGAATAAATGAAAAAAGTTTCCTTAGTTTATGTTATTTTGTTAGTTATTAGGTATTAAACCTCAATACCTAAATGGCTGGCATAAATACTCATAAAAAGAGTAACACCTCAAGTGGCATGTCAGCATCCCCTAAATATAAAAGTTTATGATGGAAATTGTTTCTGATAGTAATATTTTATATTTGGGTTAACTGCTTTAGATACACTGAAAGAATCAATGCAAGGATAAAACATGATAGTAATTTTAGTATAATAATGACTTTTAAAGTTTATCGGATTAATTTAGATGAACTGTTTCATCACAATGTAGATTTATAATGAGCATAATGATTGACTCATAGATTGCAGTATGAAACAAGTCAAAATGAGATTCTTTTAATTAAAAGATAAAATACACTTATTTAACTGGAATTATGAATAAGAGTAAAAAATTGATATTTTATGCACGTTAGTTTTGCATAGCAGTTACAGTTGTTAAAATTATTACATTTACGTTTTATTTAATAAATGGTAATTCAGGTGACATAAAAATGTGGTGTTAATTGATATTTAGTCAAGAAAGTGTTTAATATTTTATTTAAAAATATTATAACACCCATGTATTGTCTTTACATCTGTTATGTTCTGCTGTGTTCAGCAATGGATGAAACCTTGTTTCCATTGAGGTCAATTAGAGTATTCCCATTAATTCTAGGTAGGTCAGGGATTAATCCTGTGGCTCCATTTGTATATTGAATTATTGGTAAATGGATGTTCTGCCCATAAAAAGCCATTTTGAAGTCCATGGGTCTTTGTGGAGGACAAGGAGGGTCAGATCTGTTTGTGAAACCTTTACATCATTAGAAGTTTACTCACAAGTACCACCACTGATGTCAGTGGGCCTGATCCAGCTCTGAGAAATATGCAGATAGGGTATGGAAGGGCTCAGAATAGGCAGACCATGCACAGATATAGCTTTCCATGAAGAGTTGAGGTGTTATCTGCAAGAATTACTGGTCACTTGTCTTAACCTAAAATTTCATATAACATAAATTAACAAGCTTTTGTAGAAGATTTAATTGAAACTGACCCTGACACCTCTGTTTGCTTAATTTAACTTTCTATTACCCTATAGGTTTTACTAAAAAATACCATAAAGTAAAACTAATTTGTAAATGTGTGGGTTTTTTTGTTTTTTTGTTGTTTTTTTTTATAGAACACAATAAGTTATTTGCAAACCTGGAATGATATTTCCTATGAATAGATAGATTGTAATTATGCCATCGTTCTCATAGTATTCGTACAATATGAATGAAATGCCAAATGTGTGGTAATTTAAAAATAGAATATAAAACCTTTTAGTATAATTACCAAATACTGTAATCTAGAAGATGTTAAATCTTTTTACGGAAATTTTGATGCAATTAGTTTAAGTACTATGTGTAGGTATTTATAAAGCAGGACAACAAGTACAAAATGCATTCTATACGTTTGCTTAAAAAATCTTAAATAAATCTGCTTTGACTATCTGAACATGCCATTTGAAACATGCAGCATTGGCCTAACTTTGCCCCTGTTGAAGTTAGTGGTCAAACTTCTCTTGATTTTGGTGGAAATTCAGAGTTAGTTTGCCACTAGATATTTTGTATATGTCATTCTGTTTGTCCTTGAGCTCAGAATTTCATGAACAGAGTAGTGTGAAGGGAGGGGAGCATTGAGTAGAATAGGAATAGCGACGGCTGGTAAAGTGAAAAATGAAGTAGAGGGATGGGCCTATGTCAGAGGAATTTACATATATGTTCTTGGCTATCTTGAGACCTTGCCCCCAAATGGTTTAATGTTTATAGAGCTTAGGACTTGTACAAATCTAGTGTCTGCTCAAAGGCTATGGACACATAATAGGGAAACAAAAAGATGCTTTAAATAAGTGGCTCTAAAAGAAAAGAATATGTATTGCACACTGAAATTTTATGAGATTAACAGTGGTTAAGAAAAAAAAAAACTTTCTAGAAGTGAATCCTCGGATGTTGAGGCCTGTACAGTTTGTTGCTTTATATCTCAAGTGCTATTGAAGGTAGGAAGCAGGCTGGTATAAGCGAATATCCTTAAGACAAACAGAACAGTTCAACCACAGTGCGTTTTTTACTGAATGGCCTTTCTAAGTCTCATTGTAGAGAGTCAACACTCATTTCACAATCTTTTCTCCGCCTGAAAACACAGAGTACATGTTGCGTTGTATAGCTTTAATCAATCTCTTGACTGCCTGAAATTACAGCAATAAGAATTTTTGAATAAGCATTAACTTGCCCTTTCACGTTGATGGTAAACAGGTCATTAAAAGGTATAATTTCCTGAACTGCCTGATTTTCTTAATAAGAAAAGCATTCTCTCTTAAATTTATTTCAGGAAAGGTCTAAATCTTCCTTTTACATCTGTTCAAAGGAGGTATTTTAGTTATATTTTGTAAGACTATAGACATAGAAAAGCAACCTAGTACATATAATATATAATTTTGCATGAGGTTAGTTCAATTCCATGATCATATATGTTTAAGTTTAAAAATAGCCATTAATGTGCACAAATATTAAATGTTCTGTAATGCTTTACTATTATTTTATTTTATACATTATTATTAAATATTTTATTAATTGTATATGATTGTTAATTCTTTATTTTCTTCATGTGCATTGCTTTTCAGGTTAAAGTGCAACAAAAAATATATTTGACTAGCTGGTTCTCAATATGAATCGAGCTTTTAGCAGGAAGAAAGGTAAGTAATTTTGTTTTTGTTACATAAGAGACAGTTGTGACCTGATGAAGAATACCTTGTATTTGAAAGCTTGTCTAACTCTATCTCACCTATACAGTTGGTCCAATAAAAGATATCACCCCAGAAAATCCTTGCCTTTTGCATAAGAGATGGAAGAAATCTTGCATAAATACTTAAAGATCAAATATTAGTATTACAGAAGAGACCCTTTCTGAATCTGAATAGTTGTATCAGACCAATTAGTTAAGAAGGAAATGAGTTTCTGAAATTTGTATGGAGCAAGTCACTCAAGATTAGTAGCTATAGAGAACTCATCTCTCTGGAGCATAATGCTTGAGAGCTCATGCTATTTTCTTTATTGATTTCTGACCAGAGGGTATGCCAGAGAGAGTTATTCTAACTAAAAGGAGACACAGAGACTTCTGCTTACCATTTATAATGACTGGGCTTTTATTCTTGGGTAAGCTGTTTTGGAAAAATACTTTTACAGAGAGAGAAACCTTCCTGTGAAACAAAAAACTCTCTGATTCTTAAGGCCTAGACTTCTACTGATAAAAATAAACTTGTGCTATTCAAAAAGAAAACCTTTCCAAAAGTGTACATCTCTACTATCAGTATAGCAGCTGATTACTAGATGAATACCCAAGAGTTACTGATAGTGCTCCTTCAGCTCGTTCACATTCTGTTGTATACACCTACATTTTTTATTCGTCCTCGGGACTTCGGTACTTTTTTCTATAACTGAAGACTTAGTTACTTAATTATTTTTTTTTTTTTTTTTTACAGGAGGTTACAGACAGAGATTTGTTTCCTGATGTACTTGAAAACATTTAACAGCAAATGTTGCTGTTTGTTGTTATTAATTAGTACAACTTTAGGGCTATATCTTCTGGCTTTGTTGTTTACATAATATACTTTTTTTCTAAAAATCCTTAAATGGCAGACTATGGGTGAGAGTCTGTGCTGAGATAAAAAGTGAAACTCTATTGGAGTAACTGTGAGTATATCCAGTTATACTTCAAAATAATTTGCTCTCATATTTTCTATATCTTTAATAAAATTAGAAACTTTCAGTTTCTGAATAATAAACTCTAACCAAGTGCAACAACAATATCTCTGGAATATATTTGGGACTTATTTAGTATACTTTAGGTGATTCTAACACTAAAATCCATACACTGGTAACTTTTTTTTTTCCCAGACAAATAATTCAATTTCTTGTTGATGCTTGATTCTTGCATTGTGTTCACTGGTGTTGCCTCACTTTCCCTGTTTTTTTTTAAAACACACATTTCATATAGTTTGCATTAGACTCCTCATGTTCTTCCATAGACATGATGGGGGCAGGGGAGGGGAGTGTTCCATTCCTCTTTAGTTTTGTAGTGTGGTTTACTAGGTAATTCACCTTGCTTCTGGGCTATCTTTTAGTCTTGCATTGGTTCTTGCTGTACTGTACATGGGAATATTTGTGTCTCCCTTTGTGCACCAAATGTTGTCCTGCCAGTTAGTGCTGTTTGCAGGTGATAACCTGCACTGATTTTCTTTATCCCTTCATCAGTGCCTGTGTAATGATGTACTCTTGATATCAAATAGTTTCTTAAGCTGGGCTTGTATATGTACTGGACCTACTGTCAAGAGAAATTGACTTATACTTTATTAGCTATAGGTTGAGTAATCCAACCTTGCACCCAAATGGCATGATGCTCACAGAATTTAGGACTTACATAAATCTAATCTCTGCTGAAAGGCTGTAGACACATTAATTTGTAGTGCTACACAAGCACCTCATCACTTTGTATTGTTGTGTTGTTCGGAGTATATCTCTTCACAGCCTCCTGGCTGGAACTCTACAAAGTCACTGCAAAGGCATGCTCTCCAGCCAGGGGACAATAAGAGGATGATCCTTTGCTTGCCCTGCCATGGGCAGATCTATTGCTCCCCTAAGAGCAGGGCAGCAGCAAGCTCTGTGACAGCCCAATGTGGTGAGCAGAGCTGTAGCCCCTGGTCCTGCCTACGTTGCATCTCTGCTCCCAGCAGGCGGTCAGAGAGCCAGACACTTTCGCTCCCTTCCCCACTTGAGCAGAAAGGAGAGCAGAGCTCTGTAGGACACCGGGGATCCAAGAAACACCTTGTATCACTACATAAACAGATGTTACCTACACAATGTAGAACTACAGAGAAGATCCTGTTTCAGACCAGAATATTTCTATAGTATTTGTGCTATTTTATGTTGCACTACAAGTGTACATATCTGTCCCCTTGACTTTTGTAGTACTACAAATATGATGCCTGTGTAAAGTCTCTTTTTGTGCTGGCTTATTTAAACAGAGTCAAGCAGTGGGAGCCTGTCTCACAGGCACTCTTTGAGCAGCCAGGAATATTGCTAGTGGAGTGATTGCCGGGTGATTGCTGTCTGTGACTGACAGAACCCTAACAAGGAGGCAGAGGGTATAAGCCCAGGAGGGTATAAAAGGAGACTCCGAGTGATCAGGGAGCAAGCAAACTGGGACAGCAAACAGGGCAGTTTGCTGGAAGCAAGAGGAGGAAGGGGAAGAGGAAGAAAAGCCAGCCACAAGATCCTGTTCTGGGAATGTAAGTGAGCAACTAAGTCACAAAAGTCTGGCTTGCAAAGTATTTGCTTGGTGGGCTGTGTGGTTGGTCATGTGCTCTGAGCAGCTGGGAGTGCTGCTAGCTGGATGATTGATTGCTGAGTGATTACTGCTTGTGTCTGACAAAAGCTCTAATGAGGGGGTGGAGCTGTTCAAGGCCCAGAAGCATATAAAAGGGACTCCCACATGACCAGGGAGCGAGGAAATATGGCAGTTTGCCAGCAGTTCACAAGTCAGTTTGCCACCCTCCTCTTTGAAGGGGAGCCTTTAAGGTAAACTCTTTCTTTAATTAAGAGTAGCTAATTTATACATATGAGGTGTAAGTAGCTAAAACTGAGCAGTTAGGCTAATACTTAAGCCTCTTTTTTAACCAGAGTCCAGAGGAAGGAGGAGCTTATTAGGGGAGTTTCCCTGGAAACTCTTCTTATCTTCCTTTGCTGTAAGCTTGGTGAAAGGAAGCAGGGAAAGGAGAGTCTTTTGGGACCAAGGAGCAGTGAACAAATCAGATTACAGGGGAATTTTCTAGGGAAGGTCTGCTTGGAAAGAGGGGCAAGAAGAGAAAGGTGGTTGATTAGGAGACCAAATAAATGGCTGGAGGATATCTCAATGCCAGAGCCACTGCCACTGCCAGCTCTCCCTCTGCTTTCCCTCTGAGGGGTCAGTCCAGGTGGGACTGCTCACCATTGAGGCTTCCACCCAGGTCCTGGTTTGCTGCTGTGCAGACTGCATATGGGCACTAGTGATACTGCCAGGGGCAACCCTGAGGAGATCAAAAGTGACTGTAGGGCTATAAGTGCAAGGGTGAAGGGTACAGGGGCTCAAGTGGTATTCTTCTTGATCCTTCCAGTTAAGTGAAAGGGCCTGAGCAGGAGTGGATCCATCCTGCAGATCAGTGCATGACTGCATAGATGGTGTCTGCAGCAGGACTTTGGCTTCTTTAACTACGGGATTTTGTTCCCAAGAAGGCAGCTTGCTAGGAAAAGATGAGAACCACCTGATGAAGAGCGGGGAAGAACTTCTTTGCAGACAGGCTTGCTAACTTAATGAAGAGGGCTTTAAACTTGGTTAACTGGGGAATGGAAACAAACATTCTGAGGTAAGTGAGGAAGCAGGTGACCTGGAGGAAGCACAAGCAGGAGGGAGCAAGGGAGAGGACTTATTCTTCCTGAGAAAGTAGGGCAATCAGCAAGTTGCCTCCAATGTCCTGTATACACGAATGTTTAGAGCCTGGGAAACAAATAGGAAGAACTGGAAGTCCTGGAACTATGATGTGACTGGAATAACAGAGACTTGGTGGGATAGCTTGCATGACTGGAGTAGTGTCATGGATGAGTGTAAACTCTTCAGGAAGAACAGCCAGGGGAGAAGACAAGGAGGAGTTGATCTTTATATAAAAGAACAGTATGATTGTTTAGTGCTGCAGTGTCAAACTGAAAACAGGCCTGTTGGAAGTCCCTGGTTTAGGGTCAGAGGGGAGAGTGCCAAGGTGCTATGGTAGGTGTGTCCTATAGACCACCAGAGCATGAGGATGAGGTGCATGAAGCTTTCTTCAAGTTTTCTGATTACAGGCCTTGGTTCTCATGGGGGACTTCAGTCGCCTTGATGTCTTCTGGGATGGGGAATATAGCAGTGCACAGGTAATCCAGGAAGTTTTTGGAGAATGTTTGGGACAACTTCCTGGTGCGAGTGCTGGAGCAGCCAGCTAGGGGGCCCTAGTTTGCTGCTCCAAACAGGGATGAATTGGTGGTGAATGTAGAAGTGGATGGCAAATTGAGTGGCAGTATCCACGAGATGAGCAAGTTCAGGATCCTAAGGAAAGAAACAAAGGTGAGCAGAGAATAAGGACCCTGGACTTAAACTCACTCAGAGAAATGGTGAGCAGGATCCCCTGGGAGGTCAGTCTGAGGGGGATGGGAGTCCAGGACAGCTGGCTGTACTTTCAGAGAAACCTTACAGAGGGCACAGGGATGAAGCAGTCTAATGTGCAGGATATGCAAGCTGCAAGACCAGCTTGGTGTAGCAGGGAACACTTCAGTGAGCTAAAACAAAACAAAAAAAACCCAAAAAGGAAAGTTACAAGAAGTGGAAAGTTGAAAAAACTACTAGGGAGGAGTTTAAAAGTGTTGCTTGGTCATGCAGGGTTGGAATCAGAAAAGTAAAACACAGTTGGAGTTGGAGATAGCAAGGGACAGCATTGAAGGGTAACAAAAAGGGTCTCTACAAGTATGTTGGTAGCAAGAAGAGGAAGGTCAGGAAAACTGTGCATCCCTCACTGAATGGGGGAGGCAGCCTACTGACAGAGGATACAGAAAAGGCTGAAGTACTCAATGCCTTTTTTACCTCAGTCTTCACTGGCAAGGTCAGCTCCCAAACTATGGCCCCTGCCAGCAC